GAATTTACCTAGAAATCTCTTACTTGGAAACATACACCTCCTTTTGGCCCTATGCGTGGGTATTCCTAACATTACACTTGGAATCTCAAATGAGATTTTGAATTGTTAGGTTTTTTTTTTATTATTTTTTTTTTATATAATTTTTTTTTTTTTAGCATGAGACTTGAATTTAGTAATTTTTGAGTTTCAATTGAATAATTGATTATGCTAAAGTCTTTGTTGTTTTTATGCTTATGGTTTATTCTGCTTGATTTTGTTGAATTTAGAATATATAATTTTATATACTATGGAGTACTTTTATTGCATTGTATTTTGCTCAAATTGCTGAGGCTTAACCCCAAGTATTGCTCCTAGCAAGTAAGGCAACGAAAGCTAAATAAGTGAGAAAGTAAGTAAGAACACAAGAGAGTAAGCTTAAGAGAAATTGTATTGCTTGAGAATGAGTGTTTACAAAATGCTTGGATGGTTTGCAAAATGAGGGGAAGGTCGTTATTTATAGGACTCCCAAGTACCTAGAGAGTTCTACTCTATAACATTCTAACCTCTTCAAATGGAGGGTCCTAAAACAAGGTTGTTCTAGAGACTTCTATACAATTCTAAGTTACATCTCATATGTAAAACATTCTGGAGTATTCTATAATACTCTAAGCCTACAAGCTTCCAGACGCATCCCGAGACACCTAGCACGTTTTGGAATGTTCTAGACTTCTCCTCGAGAATTAGGCTTCACCATTGTCTTTATTGGGCCCAAAAACGGCGGACCCCCAAGTTTGGGCTCATTTGGGTTTCATTTGGTCCCCCAAATGACCTATTATTGTGTTACTGTCAATTGGGTGTTCACTAGGAAAACTGTACTAGATCAAAATAAAGCTCTTTAGGGGAGTGGTGCTTCCTAGCACCCATGGGCAACTCCCCTGGCTCGAATGGTTGCCTAGTGCCTAATTGACGTTGCTGCTGCCTTGGTGGGTGTGGGACTTGAGTCGTGACATTGAGCTAACTACTTTGCATGATTGTAATTTGTTCAGATTAGTGAACCTCCTAACTACTTATCTTATTTGATGTTTTTTTTTGGAGGATAAACCTCTCTAAAGTCTAAATACTTTGGTTGTAATTTTTTTCAGTCTCCATTAAAGAAAAAAAAAAAACAAACTTTGTGCTCTATTCTATCTTAAACTTTGTCCATTCTTTTCTCAAATCTAGAACGAGAATAAGCTAATTTTGTTCTAGAATTTGGTAGTTGTGCTCCATTTAATGTGGTAGTGGGGCTAAGGGAACTTTGTTAATTGGAAAATAAATCACATACAAACTAGTCAACTATTTGTGCACCTCCGAAGAGAGTAAAATACAGTATTTGACATGCAAAGTACATTTTAACAGGGAATTCTCCATGGTATACTCACTTTAAAGACATAATATGTTGTATAAAAAATTTCGCTGAGGTCATCTCTTTTAATTATCAAAGAAGCATTGACATAGGAAGGCAACACAGGTTAGTACTTGTATATTATAACTGCGAGTTAATAGACAATGCAAAATCATCAATTGGCTTTCAGATAGTTGACTACATTGAATAAGAAAAAATGAAGTTTCTTCGTGCAAAACTATATAAACAAATGTATTACATAAAAATAGCATATTCCTCTTTATGAGTTAGAACCCAGACAGCCAGCTGGTTGAGCAACTGCATTCTTGCTAGCCAACTTATTTGAATCCCCAAAACGAAGGGATTTAAAGATCCGAGAGCTAGCAGCAGGAACTGCAGTGAAGCTATCATTACCTGGGCATGATCCTTGGATACCTAGTGCAACAGAAAGTATTGTCACAAATTTAAAACTTCAATGAATCATGTTCAAATTTAATAATATGAAAAAGACAAGCTCTAATATATTAGAATGAATAATATCTGGTTAACACCAATCTTTAAACATATCTACGTGAGTGACAACTGAATACCTTCAATTATGTCAGAAGCTGTTTCACGCATATGAGGTGGCCGATCAGGTAATGATTTCTGTGATCCGACAGGTAATAGTTCATTGACACGAAACCAGACCTATAATCACGAACACCACAATCAGAAAAGCCCCTTTAACACACTGACAATAGTACCTATATCATTTATACTGATCATCTAAACTAACCTAATTTTATGGAGATGCCAATCAAGCTAAGTGCTTGCCAGTGTGATATCTGGTCTGGATTCTGGGGAAGAGTTTAGCATGTCTCGAATAAAATTTGTGATAGGTGAATTGTATTTCGGTAAATCTGGGATAAGGTAATTTCCATTCAGAAATTAAGTGTTAATAAAGAATTTCGTGGAACAATTATCTTACTAATTAATCCAATTACGAAGATCAATCAATATAAAGCTAAACTTTTAGCCAGACGACGAGGTAGTGACACTTGGCGTTCCAACTTTTCGCCAAGTGTCGTGCCACGTATGATAGAGTTATATAGAATTCAATTTGTAACATTAAAAAGTTAGTTTAGAATTTTATTTCTATCAAATTTGGATAGAATTTTATTGTTAATTTAGAGTTTTATTTTTAAAGTACCAATATTTTTATCATAGAATTTTATTTTTTAATAAAGTACAAATTGAATTATAATTTTATTGAAAAAATAGTTAGATTATAACTCTCATAATTATCATATAAATTTATTTTTTGTATCATAATATTTTTCTGGAGCGAAAGAATTAGTTCAAAATGTACCACATCCATTGTTTATAATAAATTATAATCAATTAAAATAATATACTTTATAGTCTAATATAATTTTATTACTGTGTGTAGACCTGTAAATCAAGTCGGGTTACCAGTCATTTTACGCAGGGTCATTATTTCAGGTTACAGGTCAAGATATATTTTTCACCAATATTATTATTAGTAGTCATTACATGTCTACAAGTTTAAATCGCCACAAAAATACATCAATTTCTAACTAATTTTGTATCAATAATATGTTTTAAAATTCGACATATAGATTAAAAATATATCTTAAATTCAATAAACAACTCGGGCATCGCACGGACACAAAACTAGTCAATCAATAACTATATACTAAAAGACACTCTTGTAATGACACGTGTCATCTCCTGGTGTGTTTTTAGTGGCTTTTTTTTAAAAATAAAAAAAATAAAATAAAAACAATTATAGTATAAAATCTTATACAAAATAATTTTTATATATGTTAATAACAAAGGTAATTACCTTAAATAAAAAAAAAATTGATATATTTTTTCCCACAAACATAATTTGTCAGAGCTTTTTTGGTGCAGCAGGCGCCAGGCCACACCTGCCCAGTAAATAAAAATAACGGATTCTGACGTGCGCATAATGAGGTTACTATTCACGCGCATAACGGGGTTATTGGTTTTGTTAGGGTTACTTGTATTTTTTAGGAGTTACTTGTATGAGTTACTTATTTAAGGGTTACTTGTATGAGTTACTTATTCAGGGGTTACTTATATAAATTACTTCAAAGGTTACTTGTATGAATTACTTACTCAATGGTTACTTGTTACTTATTCAAGGGTTGCTTGTAGGCCTCATACCAAACCAGTAACACCCTTGATCAAAACCAGTAACACCCTTGACCAAAACCAGTAACACCCTACAAGTAACCCCTGACCAAACTAGTAACACCCTACAAGTAACCCCTGACCAAACCGGTAACACCCTACATGTAACCCCTGACCAAACCAGTAACACCCTACATGTAACCCCTGACCAAACCAGTAACACCCTACAAGTAACCCCTGACCAAACCAGTAACACCCTACAAGTAACCCCTGACCAAACCAGTAACACCCTACAATTTTTGACGTAGAATGTCCGATCTAAGATTCCACGAAGAAAATGAGCTCAAATTTTTTTGGTTCTCATTTTGACGTAGAATGTTCGATCTAAGATTCCACGAAGAAAATGAGCTCAATTTTTTTTTGGTTCTCATTGATTTCACTACTTCAAATGTTGTTGACGATCTTAAGGATAATTAATCACAATTTTTCATAGCAATTTGACACCTAATTTCTACAATTTCGGGCTTTAATTGCAGCAATTTGACAAAGAGGAGAGAGAACATGGGTGGAGTAGAAATATGCTTGTTGATGATGTGTGGTTTGACTTGAAGAAGAAACTAAGAAAAGAGGAGAGAGAAAATGGGTGGAGTAGAGATTTTTTTTTTTTTTGGGTGTTTAGAGAGCCACAAAGGGGTGGAGATATGGTTGTTAATGATATGTGGTTTGGCTTGGATAAGAAACTAAGAAAAAAGGAGAGAGAAGAGTTGTGGTATTTAAAAAAAATAAAATAAAAACTGTGGTTGACCACACCGTGTGGCCAGCTACATAGAAAAATTTGTGTTTGCCACATAGTTTAATTTACACATAGTTTAATTTACTTCGAGAAAGTATTCATAATTTCGCTAATAACAATAGTTGTTTATTTAAATTTTTGTAAGATAAACAATTACATTGAAAAATTGATATTAATTTTTTAAAATTACCATGACATGGAACTTAAGCTAATTTCGTATTAATTACGAGTAAGTAATACTTCCTCCGTTTCTATTTAGTTGACGAGTTTAATTTAGACACATATATTAAGGAAAGGATAGAGAGAGAATGAAAAAGTAAGTGGGGGTAGTTTGTAATAGTTGGATTTGTGTGGACCTGATCTACAATAAATTATTGTAGACCCAAAATTTGACACTTTTAAATAATATAATCACATTTTGGATGATATAATCACATTTTTAGATGATATAATTATCTTTTTGTGAGTCATATTTTGAATTATATAATCTCATAGTAAATCATTTAATGAGATTATTTAATTATCTTTAGGATGATAAAATTTAAAAATCATCTTTTGAATGATGTAATTAATTATTTGATACTTTTTATAATGATAAATTCACTTTTTGAGTGATACATATACATAATAGTTTCAGGATAATATAATCACTTTTGTAGTAATATAATCACATATCGTATGATATAATCACATTCGTATGATATACTAGAAGGTTGGGTCTACAATAAGTTGTTGTGGATCGGGTCTATTCTAGTTTTTACTGTAAATGCAAGGTAAAAAGGTTACTCCAAAAGAAAACGTGTTAACTAAGAAAAACTTACTAAAAAAGGAATACATATCAACTTAAAAAAAATAAAGGTAGAGTTGGTGGACCCTCATTTGCAACCCAAAAAAATGAAAAAAAAATGTAGTCGGTGATTATTGTGAAATTGAATTTTAATTTTGGTTTCTGCATCTTACACACAATCATGTTAATCCGTCAAATTAGAAATGTGTGCTTAAAAAAAAAAAATAAAAATCAAAGTAAAAGTGATTAGCGAAAACGCGGAGATAACCTAATTCAGATCTAAAATCTCTTTCTCTCTCCACCTTTCTGATCACTCTTTCTCTCTCCTCCATTGCTTTGCTTTCCAGCAATCTACCCATCAACATCTACTAGTTCCGATCTATTTCTTACTGCAATTCTTCACGAAATTCGCCGTTAACACACTTCGATTTTTACTGCAAAAGGTTAGATTTAATCTTTGTCTTTTCATTTGATTTAATTTCTTAGCTTATCTTTATTCTTCAATTCCATTATTTATAGTGTTCTTTACCTCATAATGTTTGTTTGGTGTTAGTTACAATAAGTAGATGTGAATTATCCGATCAATTAGTTACTAAGCTAGAATGTAATTGCATTTGATTTATTTGTGTTAGATGTTTTGGATATTGGAATTAAGTTTGTTATGGATTGAAGCTACTTGCTGAATTTCTGATCGGGTTTTGTATCCCGACGACCCATTTGGTAGGCGGTAATAAATCATAATAATACTTCGTATTATATATTTGTAATTTTGTTCGGAAGAACTTGTATGTCAGTATTCCAGGGTTAGGGTAGGTATAATTGCAAATTTGTGTTTTAGATTACCGTTCATGAACATTTGGGGTGTGGTATTGGGAGAATTATTTGAAGATGGTAACTGCATTGCCTTATCTTGATGGACTTGTTTTGGAGATGGAATAATGCAGAAAGTTTTCTTGGCGAAATTACTCGTAAAATTCAATCTCATCACGGTCTTAACTAGCGACTTATATGTGTTGCAGGATAGTAGACCAAATCTTGATGGAAATTGGGGTACTATTAAGAAATGAATTAAGTAGCTTACGCTATAGGAAGGGAAGTACTATTGCTGTATGTCGTTGTTGTAATGAATACGTGCACCTAATATAACCTGTAGTACTTGATTAATGGAGAAAGGTGTTTTGGATGGGGTTATTGGTTTCGGGGGGGGGGGGGGGGGGGGGGAAAGAGAAGAGAAAAGGAGAGTCCATGTAAGGTTGGTTTGGAGTCATCCTGCTGTATGTAACTAGATGGACAAGAGTGTGAGGAAAAGTAATAAGGAAAGGCTTAATAGGTCCACCATTCCACAAATCTTTCACGATGAGGGGAATCAGGTAATAGGATATAACCATTGTCATACAGCTGAAATTATGATAATGGCTGCAATTCGATTAGTGGGATTTAGAAGGGAGGGGAAAGAGAGGAAGATATTGCGGTGAAATGTTATAATAGCTATTATGTGGACCAATTGGTTAGAACGGGATGCACAAAATTTTTATGGAGGTACTGCTTCCTGTGTTAGATTATGGAATGAAGTTTCTTTGTTAGCATCTTTATCGGCAAATGCAGGTGGGGCTTTCACAAATTATTCCATTGTGGAGATACAAAGGAACTGGGCTAATGTATAATTAAATTTTGTGAACCTTTACAAGGACACCTCGTCCTCTAGTTGTTTTCCTCTATTAGAAAAAAAAGTACCAAGTTATAAATTGATTCAAACAATATCAGAAAAATCTGTAAATATATCATTTACTTACCTAACATATTGACATCTTGTCTAGTAAAGAATGCCAGGAAGATATAGTATCTTGGCCAGTTGGCCTTGGGAAATGGCTTATTAATAAGCAGTCTGTGATTTAGTCATTTAGGCTCCGACGAGAGGTGAACATAATTTTTATAACATTTCGGCAGCAGAATGCAGTCTGTAAATGCAATCCAGTTGAACATAATTTGTGCATTGCATAGACTGCATTGCTGCCCTCTTGATTCGGCAGCAGTCTGTAAATGCAATCACAAGAGTTAATGCAATAAAGTCGGTACTGCCGAATCAAGAGTGCAGCAAACACTTTGCAATCAACTTTTGTGTATTGCAATGCAGTCTGTAAATGCAATCCAGTTGAACATATTCAAGAGTGCAGCAATGCATGAAAAATTAATTGCTTGTGATGTATTCATATGTATTCTGTAAATTTTCCTAAGATGAAGAAGTTTACAGCATTATTGGATGGTTAATGCTCGCAATTAACTTTTGTGTATGCCTGCAGTGTGCTTTATTTCACTTGTATTGAGCACCAACCATGTGGAAGTTTAAGCCCTTTGCACAGAAAGAACCAACAGGACTTGAGGGCCGCTTTTTTGATGTCGGTGACATTAAAGTTCATGTCAAGAATGTCATTGCTGAGGGAGGATTCTCTTGTGTTTACTTGGCTAAGGATGCATCGAATGCATCAAAGCAGTATGCTCTAAAGCATATCATATGCAATGATCAGGAATCAATGGACCTAGTAATGAAGGAGATTAAAGTGATGAAATCTCTCAAAGGGCATCCTAATGTAGTTACTCTTTATTCTCATACTATATTGGACATGGGTAGGACGAAAGAAGCACTTCTTGTGATGGAATGTTGTGAGAAATCTCTGGTAAATGTCTTGGAGAGTAGGGGAACTGGTTACTTTGAAGAGAAACAAATCATGGCAATTTTCAGGGATGTTTGTAATGCAGTCTTTGCAATGCACTGCCATTCGCCACCAATTGCCCACCGGTAATAAGCAGTGTATATGATTGGTTATGTACTTATGCCAGGTTATTGTTTGATTCATTAATTAAAGTCATCCCTGTATTCTAGCAACAAACTCTGCTGTTCCTGGTAGCTAGCCTGGCTCATAGACTCTTGTGTGGCACCTAAGACTCAAATCTGAAACCCTTCCGCATCGCATGGCTATTTGTGGCTCTTAAAATGAATATTGTGATATGCTTACATGTCTTCTCATAAAACTTATCAACTTATTTTTTTTTTTATTTTATTTATTTATTTATTTTATTTTTTTATTTTTTTTGTGAATATAAATAATTTATTGTCTTTAAGTTTTCTTTACTTCTTTTCACCCCCAAGGTTGGTAATGCGGGAATAGTTTCTTTTCTAGTGTCTGAAAATTAGAATGGCAGTTGGCTAGATTTTATTTTTGTCATTTTTAACACTTTAGTGTCAAACTGCCCACTGCTAACTGTTTCCTTTTCCTTCATTATGTAATTCAGTGACTTGAAGGCAGAGAATCTTTTGCTGGGCTTAGATGGGCTATGGAAATTGTGTGACTTTGGTAGCACCTCTACCAATCACAAGCGCTTTGAAAAACCTGAAGAAATGGGCATTGAAGAAGACAACATAAGGAAGCACACAACCCCTGCTTATAGAGCGCCTGAGGTTGAAAGCACTTTCATGCATTTATACTTTGCATTATAATTCAAAATCTGAACTTGACATTTTCATGTTTTCTTGTCTGGAAGATGTGGGATCTTTACAGAAGAGATCTCATTAGCGAGAAAGTGGACATTTGGGTAAGTTGATTTTCCAAATGTTTGTCTATAAGCATGAAACTGTATCATCACAAGCTTGTACAATTTATGAGTTAGCATCTAATATATATCTCCTTGCTTTTGCTAGGCTCTTGGTTGTTTGCTTTACCGTATTTGCTATTTCAAATCAGCATTTGATGGCGAGTCAAAGCTTCAGGTTCTGAATGGAAATTACCGTATCCCTGATTTACCAAAATACAGTGCGCCTATCACTGATTTAATTCGAGACATGCTCAACTCTTCCCCAGAGTCCAGACCAGATATCACACAGGCAAGCACTTAGCTTGATTGGCATCTCCATGAACTTAGGTTAGTTTAGATCATCAGTATCGATGATATAGGTACTGTTTTCTTAATAGTTAGCACTATTGTCAGTGGTGTTAAGGGGCTTTTCTGATTGTGGTACTCATGGTTATAGATCTGGTTTCGTGTCAATGAGCAATTGCCTGTTGGATCACAGAAGTCATTACCTGATCGGCCGCCTCATATGCGTGAAACAGCTTCTGACATAACTGAAGGTATTCAGCTGTCACTCACGTAGATGTGTTAAAAGATTGGTGTTAACTAATATGTTAAAGTTATCGTTTTGAAATTATAGGGTTTTACGTTAGCTCATATTTTAAAATTTGAACATAATTCATTGAAGTTTTAAATTTGTGACAACCCTTTCGGTTGCACTAGGTATCTCCAAGATTATGTCGAGGACTCCAAATCCAGTGCCTCGGAGAAGCCCGCCACCTGTACCATCATCAAGTGAAGCTACTAATTTGTCGACTTCAAACACTACTAGGGGTGGGCTTGTAGGCGGTGCTTTTTGGTCCACAGAGCATGCTAAGGATACTCTTGTCCCAGAGGAAAGAGGTGAACCGAAATTTGATGATGAAAAGCCGTCCCAGAAAGAAGATAGGAGCCGGTCAGAGAAATATAATTTGCATGGTAAAGCCAGTCCTTCTGGGAGGGAAAATAGTCAGGCTAATCCAATGAAGTCTAGTAGTGCCTCAACTTTTGAGAATGAGGCTTTCAACAGCTTTGTTGCTGATTTTGACACATCTAAACTCAGTCCTACTGGCAATGACACGAAATCAAAGAAGGATAATTCCTTGGAAGCTGAGATAAATAGACTACAGGAGCAATTGAAGCAAGCTAATGCAGAGAAGGCAGAAATTACTTCAAAGTATGAGAAGCTTACTGCAATTTGTCGATCACAGAGACAAGAACTACAGGAGCTGAAGCAAGCGTTGGCTTCCAGAACTCCTTCACCTAAAATGGAGTCTACGAGGAATCAACCATCCTCCAGCAGTAAAGTCGCTACTTCTCAGGTATCAATCCCCCCACCCCACCCCCCCCCCCTCCCCCTCTCCCCCCTTAACATACACAAAAAGAACTCTATAACAGTGCGGAGAGCTTTATTGGTAATAACCTTAAAGTATCAATTTGTCTTCCAGAAAACCTAAACTTTCGACATACTATGAGTTACTTAAAAGCTATAAAAGCTACACATCTTGTTATGAAACATCACATCTTTCCTTCATGGAGATCTTTCGTATAATTAGTTGTAGTAAATGTTCAATTTTTTTTGGTTTTAACATAGTTTACTTTGATCATGTCAGAGAGCAAAAAACGAAGGCACAGTGTTAGAGCTCCAACAAGGTTTGCTTGACAAAAATTCCACAACCCCAGAATTGAAATCATGGCAAGCATTTTCCCCTTCACCAACATCTCAAGCTGATTCATCTAAATCTGTTAGGACCAGGAATGGTCACTCTAGCAAGCAAGGTGCTTCAACTGGATCAACCCAAGATGGATGGGGATTTGAAAATGAAAGCTTCACTGCAGTTCCTGCTGCTAGCTCTAGGATCACTAGATCTGGCGAAGGTAATACTTCCCTACGTTTTGGGGATTCAAATAAGTTAGCAAGCAAGAATACTGCTTCTCAACCAGCTGGCTGGGCTGGGTTCTAAGTCTTCTTACTCAAAAGGAAGAATACATATTCTCTGTAAGCCTGTAATACTTTTGTTCATATAATTTTGCATGAGAAAACATCATTTCTCTTATTCTATGTAGCAACCGTCTCTTAGCCAATTGATGATTTTGTGTTGGCTATTGACTCACAGTTATAATCTACTTATAATCAATGTTGCTTTCATTTGTTATGTCTGTTTTATAATTAATAGAGATGATCACGCTGAAATTTTATTGAATTACGTATTTATCCCAAGTAGGTATACCATTAGAGGAGAAATCCTCTGTTGCAATGTACTCTGTATGTCAGATATTGTATTATCCTCTATTTGGTGGTGTAATTATCAGGTATAGCTATTATGTGATGCACAAATAGTTGTATATGAAATCTTTTCACATTGATAGAGTTTCCTTAGCCCGACTACCTGATTATTTAAAGCACAACTACCAGATTCAACAACAGAACTAACATATACAGGAATCGGGAAAAGAAAAGAGCAGAACTAATGAAGTTTCAGGTAATACGTATTGACATTTTTCATTGACTATTGCCATCTTCCTATCAGGTTAAGGATTAAACCGAGCAGCCCAACTCAAGGATTGAATATCTGAATCGAATCACTGCCCTGAATAAATAGGAGGTGTGGGCTATAGTTCGGAATAACTAAGAACTGATACTGTCATACTGATCAGCCAAAAAAATACAGTGATGTACGGTTTGAAGGGAAAAAAAAGTTTGGGTTTATAAAGGCAGACAATTCATTAGAATAAGGGGAAGCAATAGTAAAAGCCACATATATAATAAAAGACTTTCAAGTTTTATTTTCATTTACATGTAAGACTTAATATTAACAATATATGATTACTAGTACAAAATATACGGATCAAACATGGCCTATTCATGAATGGAGGGAGACTGTATAATTATTTTGAATCCTATAACAATAATTGTATACTACATACAATTTCTAGATTTCATGACTTGTCTGAGAAGTTCAATAAGCTGATAAACAAACAGTTCATAAACAACATGACAATCAAGTGCTGATGCTACAAAATTCACTCGAGAAGAGAAGAATTCAAAGGCGAGAAATACAACACTAGTATAAATTGTTTATGCTTGAAATATGTATAAAACACGCGTGGGAAAATTCTCTCAGTACTATACTCATTACTCAGCAAGCTGCATTTCACTATGGAAATTACAGAAGTAGCATCTTCTGAAGCAAAGATTACATTAAAAAGATAAGCATATAAGGCTTTTTCAGGCCGAGGCCACTGTGTTCTCAGTCACCCCTTCAGCTACTCCGTTTGCAACACCATTAGTAACTTCACTTGTAACCCCATTAGAAACTCCATTTATTACCCCATCAGAAATTCCATTAGCATGATGTTGAGTTGCCAATTGACTGAAGTTACCCTTTTGTTTGAACAGCTGGGAGTGATGGTGTCGACAGTACAGACGATGCTCATGGGCTACATAATTTGAAGGACTGATAACACATCCTCCATGACAGCATCTGAAGCATCCCTTGTGATAAGAACTGCCATCAACTGCTACCTGAAAGCCGAAATATATATACCAATTACCATTCAATGCTCAGAAAGCTTTAGATATGATATGAAATGTAGAAATTACAGTAATTAAATTCAAGTCTCACCTTTTCGATTGGATAAACTGTTTTCTGGCAAGAGACACACTTCTCTTGAGTACCACCAAACATGCTAGAGACTTTGCTACTGGTTTGAACCTGCTCAGATCATCAATTTAGACAGTATAATGGGATAAAGACGATTAGACGATAAACTTACTTCTGCTACAATTTTTTTTCCTCCTTTTAAACCTTTCTAAAATTAGAGGCAGAAGCCTTCCCATAGAGTCCGGCTAATTGCATAACAGTTAGTCGAATAACAGGTGGTCAAATGATGATTGTAGCCTAACTTGTTTAGCTACAGTTTGTTGCTTACTAAAGGTTTTCAGGATGGTTAGAAAAATTGACTTCTTTCGAAAAAAATAAGAGGAAAGGAAACATCAAGAAATAATAAGCCACTTAAAGCTTAACCATCTTACCTGTTCAGAAGATCTCTCTCTTACAGCTCTTGGAGCAGCTGCAAAGAATAAAAGCAACAAAAGCGTTACTAAAGTGTAGGTATCGCGATGCATTTGAGAAACCATAAAGAGGGAAGAAAAGATTCACCTTCAAAACTTTTGTCCAAACTACCAGTCATCTTGAAAAGCTGATCAAAGTGAGGCTTGCAATATAACACCCCTTCAAATGAGCTATAATTGTGCAGCTGCAAAAGGAAAACAATAGCAAATTAAATTGCAGAATTTATCAGACAAAATATAATCCAAACTAATGAAAAGAAGTTTGTACGAAATAATATGAAACAGATAAGCTCAATCATATCAGACTTGGCAGTGTAAAGTTTAATGGCATTGTCAATGTTAACCTCAAAGTTTTTTGAAATATGCTACTGTCTCAGACTCATTAGAGTAAAGCTGATCAAGTATGTTTCAGCCTGGCCTGATTATACCGGGCTTGGGTGCACCTTTCCTGCCCCATCCCGAAGCAACAGGCTGACTTATTAAGCCACCTACCCGTCCATGATCATTACAAGTCCGTGCTTAGTTAAGACCATCATAAAACCTAATTTTTGTACTACCTCCACTTATTATTATTCGCAACAAAGGGGTATTATTTGTGAGACATAAAATATTTCTTTGTTGCGAGCAATAAGAACCAGAGGTAGTATTACAATCAGTTAATTGGAAGAAAAAAAAAATGGAGAGGGTACTTCATTGAACAAGAAGTAGTGTCTATATTACCACTTCCAATACTTTATTGAGCATCCAGTATAATCTAGCTGTAACAACCTTAAATTACATTAAAAACAGTAAAGTAACTGTCATTATTACAGAGGATTTCAAAAACTGAACACTCCACCAATCTAGAAATCTCTTATTATTGATCCACAATTATCTTTGGAACCTAATCAAATTCAATCTAGTTAATATAAATAAAGTGTCATTAAATTCAAAAAGATCCTTTTGTTCACCTAATTTAAATTTAGGGGAAAAAAAAGGTATAATGATCTTATTTGTTCACCTACCCCAAAACACTCAAAAATTGAAAATGAATCAAAAAATTAATCTTGACCAAATAAAATAAAAACAAGTTCAAACAATATCAGAGAATACATGATCAACATCTTCAAGAGATAAACTTTGAGTTATACAATACCTTTTTTTTTAATCTATTGAACATAACTAATAATCGAATTCGAAAGGGTGATTCAAGTTGTTCATCTATTAAAAAAATTGAAATGAAATAAACCATTCAATAAACATTAACAATCAAATTTGAAAGGATGATTCAGGTTACATAAATAACATAGAAATAAATGCAAATTAAAATTTCCATTAATAAAAAGAAATAAACCTTGAGGGTGCTCTTGCAGTGATGACATCTGAAACAAGCTTTATGATAAACTTTACTGTCAGCTGTAAGTTGATCAACCAAATATACAGTCTTTTCACAGGCTTTACACTTCTGAGTTGTTCCTCCAAAACTTGCCATTTTTTTTTTCCTGACACTTTGATTCTGTGATTAATTTCACAAAAAACCCAGAAAAATTGAAGTAGAAATCTTGTAAACTTTTCTTTCTTTGATGCTTTTCTTTTGTTCTACCTCTTTCTCTCTCTAAAATTTCTTTAGTTGAAGGACTTTTAGTTGCTCTGCTTTTATGTAAAATATGACTTTGGGTGCTTATGAGATTATGACAAAGTTTGCATATGTTGGAGTTACAGCTCAGACTAAACTTATTTTCAAAAACTGCAAAATTTAATTTAATGCCTCTCATGTCCACTGCTGACCTGGGGTTATTTTTGTCATTTCGCATAATAGTCATAGGCATATTGTACATTTGTTCTTATCTAGCAAATCGGTGGTCGGTTGATCAGGTTGGGTTTGGGTTGGGTACTGTATTTTGTATACCTATAGTAGTATACAGTATGATAGGTTTGTGCTTTTAAAATTAACACTTAAATTTTTAATTAAACTATGTACACGTTCAGGTCATTTTTAGATCGAAGGTGGGTTAGGAATATGTGAATTAGTCTCAATCTTTGGATTTTAAGTGCATTTTATGAATAACTTTTGCATAATGAGCCAAAACTTTGTGCTCGGTTTACTTTTTAACTCCTAACATGTGTTTTTATAGCATCAATAATATAAATTGAGTTTATTTTTAATTTTTTTTTATTTTTTTTATGAATAGTACTTAATGTGATCTATTGATTAACCTATACTAAAAGCAAATCATTTCATGACACTGTTCACTTCTTATTCTAGACATATGCAAATAAAATCAACAACAATAATTTATCACAGCAAGTTGAATTTAATCTTTTTTATATTTTGACAAAAAGTTGAATTTAATCTAGTAAAGAAATATAAATAAGCAACAATTTAATAAAGTATTTTTTATTCTTTGAAGGGTCTCATTGACACAAGGATTTTATAATAACTTTTACTAGGTCTTAAAAAAAAAGAAAAAAAGAAACTTTTACTAGGTCAAATGGCGCAAGTAAAATAAAACCCAATTATATAGGTTTGCTGGTTTGGGTGGTTTATGTTGACACTATTATTAGGTCAAATGACGCAAATAAAATAAAACCCTAAACCCCCTATACCATACTTCTAAACCCTAAATCCTAAACCCCTAAAGTCCTCACTTTCTTCTCACAGGCAATTCGACACTACTTAGCAACAGTCTTCCGGTAAGCCAATATCGATCACAATTTCACAAAATTAATTTTATTTATTTTATAGCTTACTAGTGCCTGTTAATCAGTTTTATTTTGAAATTCATATTGATTTTTTTTTTCAATTTCTCATGTACGAATCTAATTTAATAGATTGATCAGAAGGAAAATTTTGATGGGTTTTTTTTTGTTTTTTATGATACTTTTTCAATTTTTGTCGATATTGATTAATGATTTGATCCTAAATAATGTAGTAATTATGATTTTGCAGTTGCTAGTATGTGTGATCAACTATTAAAGGATAGTTTAATCACTTTTCTTTAGTGATGAACGGATGATGATGTGATGTACAAGAGTGCTTTAAACTTGAAAATTTGTAGAATATACTTTTAAATTTGAAAGTATTGAATGTTTTAATCATTTTTTTTTTTGGTCTTATTTTGGAAGTTTGGAACTAGTCCGATTATTGGTCAAAGATTTGGGTCTATGATTGAGACCTTCCAAATGAATAAAATAAAATAAAATGGAGGGAGAAAGTATAAAAGAGAGTTAGGGTCTATTTTGTTCACCTTATTTTTCACTTATTAGGTTAAGTTTAGATTAGTTTAGTTTAGGAAAAATAAGTTTTAATAAGGATTATCCAAGTACAAATTACAACTAAAATAAGTTTTAATAAGGTAAAATAAGTTCAGAATCAAGTGAATAGAATTTATCCTTACTATGTATGCATTTTGATTAAAAGCTTCAAACCTTCTGCTTGTAATGTACTCCCTCCATTTTTTTTACATGTTGAAAATAGGATTGCGCGGAGTTTTAGAAGATTTAATAAAATAAGATGATTGTGGGGGTAGATAAGGTTATTATTTTGTTGAAAAGTAAAGTGGTGTGAGAGGAATGAGTATCATTAGAGGAATGGGAAATGATAAAGTAAAAAATAGTGAATTAGTGTGTACATTATTGGCTATAGATATTCTAGTATTATTAAATTGTACTCTCTCCGTCCCATAATTACAGGCAAATAACTCTAAAAAGTACGGTTTTTAAGGAGGATGAAAAAAGTAGAGGAATATTGTATGAAAAAAGATAAAAAGTGAAAAATGTTGTATTGAGATAATAAAAAGTAGATAATATTGTATAGAAAAGTTAAAAAGTAAGTAATGATTGTTTGGGTATGTGTGTACTTTGTATGAAAAGGAGAAAAAGTAAGTAATGATTTTTTAGGTATATGTTATTTTTAGTAATAGGAGGAACATTTTGGGACACCCAAAATAGTTTATTTAACTGTAATTATGGGATGGAGGAAGTACAAGATTTTTAAAAAGGAACTATTAACTTATAAAAAAACCTAAGAAAAAAAAAAGTGGGAGTATAAACAATGTATCTGTACAACTGTAATAAGTGTTCTAGCTTGATGAAAGTTGTAATCTTGTAAATATGTTCGTTCTCTAGGGAGTAGCGGAACTTGGGAAGTTAGATGCTTGTTCAAGATTATGCATTGTGTTGTTTGTTTAATTTCGTGTTTGTACTAGTTTTTCATTTGAAGGTGAAGATCGAAGTACTTATGTATGGTTTTACCTTTAATATCGGTTAATTTTGAGTTTAGTGGGATCAAATGGAAGCAAGGTATTTCCGAATCCTAAGGCTATTAGGAAAAGGTAACAGGGCAAGAGCTGAAGCAGATGGTCGCTTGTTGCGCCTAAAACTGGGTTACAGCCATGAAGTTGAGTTGCCAGTTCCGCCTGCTGTTCGTGTCTTTTGCTTTAAACCTGACAAAATCTGCTGTGTTGGAATCGATAAGGCAAGAACGCTTCAGTTTGCTGCTACTGTTAGGAGTGTTAAGCCACATGACACATACAATGAAATAGGTATACGTTACAACGATGAAGTCGTAAAGATGAAGCCTGGAAAGAAGGGCAGATTAAAGAAAAAAGGTTACATATTCTGAAATGGTACATGTTACTGAAATGCTGAATCTCCATGAGAAATTTAGATCAACTCGAATAATGTCTATCTTTTCATGTACTACCTCCGTTACATATTATGTGCAACTTTGAAATTTTTTCTCTTTTAAATAATACCCTAAAGTTGCACCTAATATGTAACGCAGGTAGTAGCATTTTTTTCAAAACCCCTTTTAGATAACAGCTGTACTAAAATGTTGCTAGGGATCCGCTCTCAGAGTCTCAAGGTTGTGCTCTATATTTTGAAGACACAACTGTTAATTTAATTGGACTTTACGACTTTCTTCCTTCCTTTATCATTTCTGTAGGCTATGCTGTTAAAAAAAATCCACTTCATTTCCGATCACAAGTCTATAAAAGGTTGTTTGTAGCTCTTCATTTTGCATTTGATCAATTAATTTTCTGTTGAAACTTGGGTTTACGCTAGTTAGGGTGCTAATTGAGTTGAGCAGCTTGCGAGCAACTCGAACTCAACTCGGTTAAAGCTCGGTCAAAACTTGACTCGATTTAGCTCGACTCGAGATGTTAACGATCACGAGTTGAGCAAGCTAAGATCTAACTCGGTTCGATAAGTTAGTGAGCAACTCGATGATAAATTTTATTAATACATAATTTACAAACTTAGTTATCATGTTTAAAGAAATTTGACACCGTAGATCTCTAATAATAAACAAACAAAAAACAAAACTACATAAAATGAACAAAAAATTAAATAAAGGCACATAATTTTAGAAGGATCAAAACCTTAACGAGGAGATCATGAGGTACTCCACTCGACTTGAAATTTTAACGAGCACGAGTCGAGCAGGTTTTCTTGGACTCGAAACCTTAGCGAGCATGAATTGAGCACAAGTAAAAAGTTATAGAATTGAGTCGAGCACCCCTCAGCTTGTGATCGACTCGCTCGATTAGCACTCCTAACGCCAACAATCTAAACAGTACTTCTAGAATTCTTGTTTTAGATTTGTGACAAAAACGACAAGGTGACATGATTAAAGCCCAGTTCTAGCAATTACGTTGTACTCCCTCCGTCCATTAATATAAAGCCTCTTTTGGTTTTTGCGCGGGAATTAAGAAAGTTGTAAACTCTTTAAAACTGATGATTAAAAGTAGACATGTGCATGTGTGGTTAGAGAGAGATAGAGAGAGAAAAAAAAGTAGATGGAAAAATTAAAGAGGAAGAGAGAGAAAGTGTTGGAAATTGATGTTAAAAATGCAAAAACGTTAAGGAAAAAAGATGATAACTCACCATATAGAGGGTAATAATGTCAAAAAAATACAACCTTTAAATAGAAAGAGACATTGTATTTTTGGTTTACCCAAAAAGAAAATAAAACTTTATATTAAGAGACGGGTGGAGGGAGTATCAATCTATGTATTATTATGGTTATTGAATGACATCTCAAGCTAGCCCAAAAATTCATCATTTGCAACTCAAAGTAGCCAAAAATCTTACTTGTATAAAGAATTATACATCCACGTATACAATGATAATTAGTTTGGCAAGCAATGAGGTCAAATTAGATAATGAGAAAGATATGTTGTCACCACTCACCAGCAGTATTTAATTCAAATATCCAACATTAGGCATTTGTCACGTTCCGCATTTCAAATTTTATTGGCGCAAAGTTATGGGCTCCAACCAAAGTAGCACTTTTAGGGTTATTTTTGTATAATACATCTTTTTTGATGAAATTTTGAGATTTCGGGACCCGGTGGAGAAAAGTATTGAAACCCTAAAGCTATTAAAAACTGACCCGACCCGAGTACCCGACTTTGACCGACAATGATCTGAACCCAGCCTATACTTGAACAATATTGCCACTTTTCGCCACCGGGCCCCAAAACCTCAAATTTCCTTAAAAAAACGTGGATTATAGCCTTCAATTTTGTAATTTTTTTTACCTTTTTTTTGTCCGAATATAAAAATAGCCGATATGTTAACCATGGTCCATAATACCCTCCAAGAGTCCAATTTCTCCGGTGGAACCATCGAATATACTCTTAAACGGCCATTTTACCTGTTCACAACTTGAAGTGATTTCGTAAAATCAAGCCTACCACGGACGTTTATGACAACATATAATGATCATATGTGGTTTCAAATGGAATTATATGACCCTGAGATGTATTCCTTAGTGTCTCAAATTTTTCGCCACCGGGCCCTGAAATCTCAAATTTTCCTCAGAAAGCGTGGATTATAGCCTTCAATTTTATAATTTTTTGACTTTCTTTCGCCCAGAACTAAAAATTTTCAAGATGTTTACCATGGTCCCTAATACCCTTCAAGAGTACAATTGAGTTGGTGGAACCATCCAATATGCCCTTCAACGGTCATTTTACCCATTCACAACTTGTAGCAATTTCGTAAACTCAAACCTACCACGAACGTTTATGACAACGTATAATGATCATATATGGTTTCAAATGACATTATATGACCCCGAGATGTATTCCTTAGGGTTTCAAGGCTTTTCGCCACCAAGCCCCGAAACCTCAAAATTTCGTGAAAAAGCGTGGATTATATAACCTTCAATTTTATAATTTTTTGACCTTGTTTCGCCCAGAACTAAAATTTTTCAAGATGTTTACCATGGTCTCTAATACCCTTCGGGAGTACAATTGGGTTGGTGGAACCATCCAATATGCCCTTCAACGATCATTTTACCCATGTACAACTTGTAGTAATTTCGTAAACTCAAACCTACCACGGACGTTTATGATAACATATAATGATCATATATAGTTTCAAACAGCATTATATGACCCCGAGATGTATTCCTTAGGGTTTCAAGTCTTTTCGCCACCAAGCCCCAAAACCTCAAAATTTCCTTAAAAGCGTGGATTATAGCCTTCAATTTTATATTTTTTTGACCTTTTTTCGCCCGGAATAAAAATTGACGGAAATTTACCATGTTCCCTAATACCCTCCAAGAGTCCAATTGGGTCGGTGGAACCATCCAATATTCTCTTAAAAGGTCATTTTACTCGTTCACAACTTGAAGTGATTTCGTAAAATCAAGCCTACCACGGACGTTTAAGACAACATATAATGATCATATGTGGTTTCAAACAGAATTATATGACCCCGAGATGTATCCCTTAGGGTCTAAAAAGGCTTTACGCCACCGGGCGCCGAAACCTTAAAACTTCCTCAAAAAGCGTGGATTATAGCTTTCAATTTTGTATATTTTTTACCTTTTATTCGCCCGAAAATAAAAATTGCCGAGATTTTTACCATGGACCCTAATATCCTCCGCAAGTCAAATTGGGTCGGTGGAACCATCCAATATGCCCTTAAACGGTCATTTTACCCGTTCATAACTTGAAGTGATTTCATAAACTCAAGCCTACCACGGACGTTTATGACAAAATATAATGATCATATATAGTTTCAAACGACATTATATAACCCCGAGATGTATCCCTTAAGGTTTCAAGGGTTTTCACCACCGGGCCCAAAACATCAAAATTCCTTAAAAACGTTGATTATAGGCTTCAATTTTGTAAATTTTTTGGCCTTTTTTCGCCCGGAAATAAAAATTGCCAAGATGTTAACCATTGTCCCCAATACCCTCCAAGAGTCCAATTGGGTCGGTGGAACCAGCCAATATGCCCTTAAACGGTCATTTTACCCGTTCACAACTTGAAGTTATTTCGTAAAATTAAGCCTACCACGGACATCACAGACAACATATAATGATCATATGTGGTTTCAAACGGAATTATATGACCCCGGGATGTATCCCTTATGATCTCAAGGCTTTTCGCCACGGGGCCCCGAAACCTCAAAATTTCCTCAAAAAGCGTGGATTATAGCTTTCGATTTTGTAATTTATTTCACCTTTTTTCATCCGGAAATAAAATTTGCCGAGATGTTTACCATGGTCTCTAATACCATCCAGGAGTCCAATTGGGTCAGTGGAATTATCAAATATGCGCTTAAACGATCATTTTACTCGTCACAAATTATAGTGATTTCGTAAACTCAAGCCTACCACGGACGTTTATGTCAACATATAATGATCATATATGGTTTCAAACGGCATTATATGACACCGAGATATATCCCCTAGGGTCTCAACACTTTTCGCCACCGGCCCCAAAACCTCAAAATTTCCTCAAAAAACGTGGATTATATAGCCTTCGCTTTTGTAATTTTTTGACCTTTTTTCGTCCGGATATAAAAATTGCCGAGATGTTTACCATGGTCCCTAATATCCTCCGGGATTCCGATTGGGTCGGTGGAACCATCCAATATGTCCTGAAATAGTCATTTTACCCGTTTGCAACCTGCACCGATTTCGTAATCTCAAGCCTACCACGAACGTGTATGACAACATATAATGATCATATATGGTTTCAAACGGCATTATTTGACCCCGAAATGTATCTTTTAGGGTCTCAAGGCTTTTCGCTACCGGCCCAAAACCCCAAAATTTCCTCAAAAAACTTGGATTGTAGCCTTCAATTTTGTATTTTTTTTTACCTTTTTTCACTCGGAAATAAAAATTGTCGAGATGTTTACCGGTCTCTAATACCCTCTAGGTGTCCAATTGGGTCGATGGAACCATACATCCAATATACCCTTCAACGGTCATTTTACCCGTTCACAACTTGCATTGATTTCGTAAATTCAAGCCTACCACGTACGTTTATGACAACATATAATGATCATATGTGGTTTCAAGCAGCATTATATGACTCTGAGATATATCCCCTAGGGTATGAACATTTTTTGCCACCGAACCCCGAAACCTCAAAATTTCCTCAAAAAGTGTGGATTATAGCTAGAGTTGTCAAAAACTGACCCGACCTGAGAACCTGACCTTAACGGACAAAGATTTGAACCTAGGCTGTACTCGAACGATGGGGTGAAATTAGTGACTTGTAACCTGACTTGAACTTGACCTGATCTTTACCGAAAACTCATTTGATCCAATACTTTATGACCTGAACTCGAACCTGCCCCGACCTGATAGTA